CACTTGAAGTTTGATTTTAACCATATTAATATATGAGAATGAGGCAAACCTCTTTTTTGAAATTCAATCGTGCAAACATCTGTTTATAAGAAAAATAAAAGAAAACAAACAAACAGAGAAAAAAAATTATGTTAGGTCAGAAAAAAATAAATAAACATTAATAAAGGAAAAGAAGGACTCTTAGAGACTTACTTGCTTCAACTTCTCCAAAAGGTTTTCCAGATTTTATAAAGTGAAGCATATCATCGAGTTTCATTTTAAATACTCTGGAAATTATATCAGGCCTATCTTCAGGTTTGAATCCTGGTTTTTTCTGAAATTCTCTTATGATTTCTGGCCACTTTATATTGCATGTGAATGTTATGAATAAATTAGGATGTCCATATTCTCTGCAAATAGCCATTGCATCTTGATAATTATTAATCATATATCTAGGACTCCCTGTGTATGAAGCAGGCAATACAATTTTTTGTCCCAAATTGTTTGCATCATTATCACCCCTTGACATCGCATCATAAATTCCTTTGTAAACTTCACTTCTTAAATTTTTTTGGTTTTGCCTAATGTAATCTAACCTATCTTCTTCAAGTGTTGCATAAGAATCAACCAAATATTGTTGAAAAAGTCTCCCCCCTTTTAACAATGTTGTTAAGCATGGTTCTCGTTCTTGAATTTGATACGCTATAAAAGCTCTCATGGGTATCCTTTGTCTTTTAGTCTCTGAACCCTTATAATTTTTGTTCCATTTTAAATCAGGTCTATAACCATCTTCACCGTATGGGAAAAGAAGAGGATATTGCAAAGACATAAATTTTGGATTTAATTTTGTAACACGCTTTTAATCCTTCACTTTTAGACTCAATAATAATATCTCTATTAGAATCAGCAAGTCCTATATCACCAACTATCAGACCACTTATTTCATCACTTGTTGGTTGGTCATATTGTTTACCATCTGTTGTTTCTTTCTTGCTGATAATCTCATTTTCAAAGAAGTGAGTCTATTAGTTTCAAACTTATCTTTGCTGTTCGAAAAAGCTTAACTAACTCATTTGACATATCAAACATCTTAATCAAACCTTCAACAATTTTTGGATCAAGCTTTCTATTATTTCCATCAGATTCAAAAGCCTTCAATCGATTTTGCACTTCATTGTATGTATCATAGACATATAATTGTGCAAATTTTGGACACTCATTGTCAGCAGGCAACAGAGATCCCATCAAATGGCAAACTTGACCACTAATTTTGAAAATATAAGGACCTGAACCATCATTAATTGAGTGATCAATTTTGGCTCCCATCGAAGTAAATGAAAACATAGAATTGTAAGCTCTAATATTTTCTCGAAATGATAAACTTTTTGGACCACCATTTGGATCAAGCAAAGATTCTAAAAAAGGCGGTGTTGGTTTTGGATTTGGAAAAGCAATTTTTCCTTGTTGACAACAAAGAGTGAGAATAGGTTCATCTTTTTTACATACTTGCTTAAGACTCTTTCAACCAAAAATAGGCACCGCAGTGACTACATTTATAATTCTTATCCCCAAAATCCACATTATACCTATACTAAAACCCCAACGACGTGGTACTGTTCACGGACAGTGCACGGACTAAAATGCCCCCTCGATTTGTTTGTTAAGCCAAATTTTTGTCATCTTTTCCACAGTGAAAAGACTGCCTTGCCCTCAAAGGCCACGGGTTGATACTTTCCTGTTTCCTTTTTTTTTTCTATATTGTTGTAGCTATCTACTAAAGCAGTTCCCGTCCACTGTTCATCCTGTGAGAGGGCTACTGTTCATCATGTGTATCTTCTTTTAAATTCTGACTCCCTCTTCGATTCCAGCGTTTTTCCCTTACCTAATCCACACCTGGCAGCAAATGGTACCTGCCTTTCCATAAAAAAATAATTAAAAAACCATACCTGATCCACATCTGGCAGCAATGATGCATGCCTTTCCACCAAAAAATAATTAAAAAACCAAAAATCTGGAACATGCAGAATAAAATGGATAGAAAAGGGGAAAAAGAAAGAGAGAGAGAAACAAAAGCTGAGCATGGATTGTGAGAGAGGGTGTCCATCACCAGAAAAAAAATAATTAAAAAAACAACATCATGACATCTGGAACAGTTCCCCACCAATGTTCATCACGTCTTTCCTTTATTCCGCACGTCATTCCTCGCAATTCCTCTAATTTTTGCCCACGCGTTCATCGCTCTGCACACCTCCTCTTCAATCATCCTGTCCACGTGTCGATCATCGTCGAAGGGCTCTGCTTCGACTCATTCTCGACTTTTCCTCTAACTCTCCTTCACTTTGCGGTCTTCTCTCATCTCTCACTCTTTCTCATGCTTTCTTTCTCTACCCAAGAAGCCTTCCATCCATTTCGATCTCTCCCACAAACCCTTATGTTGCTAAAGCTTGCCTTCCCTCGCTCTCCGATCTCGATTTCTCTCTCACTTTCCTGCTGAAAAAGACCAACCCAGTAGAAATTTCTCCAGTTCTCTCTCTCAAAAACTATAAATCACAGTGGCCAAACTCTAGAAAAATAAAAATAAATAAATAAATGGAATTCGAAAAGCCATTTGCTTTTCCTTGGATTTGGGTTTTCCTTCGATTTCTACACTGTCCAAAACTAGCGGCGTGGATCAAGCTAGGGTTTTCTCTGAGTCGCGATTGTTGCTCTGTCCTCCGCCGTCCGTCCGTCACTGTAAGTCCTTTTTTTTTCCAGAATTTTCAATGCATCGTTTTCTCTTCGTGTCCAACTTTTGTGTGTCTCTGTTATAAAATGTTGACGCCGAAGGTTTGTTGCTGAAAAATTGCGGCTACAAGTTTTTTCAGATTTTCCAATTTCGTTGCCAAAAAAAAAAAAAAAAAAAAAACTCCGACGACCAGCGTTTTGTGGTGAGTTTTCCAGTTTTGTCTATGCTCTTTTTTCTAATTTTGGATTTGCAAATGAGTATTCTTTTTTTCTTTTCCTTCGTGACTTGCATGCTGCTATATAATTTGGTTCTGTTTTTGTTTGTTCTCAAAGTTTGGTGTGTGGGAATCCGTTAGTGCTTCATTTTTGCTCTGTACCAAGAGTTGTTTTCTTCTTTCTTATGGTTGTGAATATATGTATGTGAACATATAAAACCTTCGTTTGGAGTGAATCGAAAAGCTTACTACGATAAAATTATATTTTGTGGTACTTGAATATTAGCCCATGGTATAATCAGTTTCTACTCAAAGTCTAGAAATCAAAGGACCCCAAATTTGCCAGAAAACGAGTAGAGGTTGGTTGTCCTGCAATCTAACCTCAATAATTATGGTTTTCACTTTATAAATTCTGGATTTTTTTTAGTTAATTGTTTGGACTTTGAATTGGCAGATGAGGTTATATTAAGTTTTGAACTTTGATTTTTGTTTTGTGTGATTGCAGAGCAAGGAGAATTGACCCCAGTTAGCTCCAACCTTGCGGTGAACTTTTCTTTTTTGTTTAGAGTTATGAGAATTTCTTATAGAAAAAATTAGAAAAACTCATATTATAATTTTTGGTTTAAATATGTTTTTAATTTGGTCCACCATGTTATGTTTGTTAACAAGAACCTATAAGAGTCTCAAATTCAGTTTCGAACTCTGACTAAAAATGGAACTTGGTGCCTCCTAAGCCCTCAAAATTTAAGTAACCCCATGATTTTTACATTACTGCGTTCGTTTTCTCTACTAATTATTGTTATATGAATTGTATTCTTCTATTAAAAATGATTAATTACACTGTCCAAAAAAATAAAAAATAAAAAACCTCATGCATTGTAGGTTTGGGATGATAGTTTAAAATCAATATGCTCATTAGCCAGTCTGAGAACCTAATTTGGGAAGTGGGTTTTAAAGTTTCAATAGTTTCGTTATGTGTAATTTTCTTGCTTTGCCTACTAAGAATCTAATAACCAAATGCTTAGTTATTTTCTCCAAATGGTTTTCGATTTGTTGTAGGTAAACGAGGGCTACTCTACTGTTTATGCAGCAGGGGAAGGGAAGGGAAGTAAAAATTATAAGCAAATGCGTATAAGTTACAAGCTTTTAATTAAAAATAGAAATGGAGTGACAACAAACAAAATATAGGTAAAACTGACCACTACATTCTTTCTATTTAAATATAAATCAATTGATTAAGTTTGTGTCTATACAAGTTTAATATGAAGTTATGTGTTGATTTTAAAAGAACCATGCATGCTGGATTTTTTATAGAAGTGTCATGAAAGTTTTATACCAAACTTTTTACAGGGATTAAGTTCATTTAAGTATGGGTCGTTTTGTATTTGAAATCTGAAAGGAGAAACAGAAATTACAAGAAGAAGAGGAAGATTGCGTTCCGATCATGGCCTTCTCTTCCTGCCTCTTATCCAAATCCTGACAAGTTAGTTACTCAACCTTCACTTCTCATCCGTCTCCTTTTTTTGATTTTAAAAGAACCATGCATGCTGGATTTTTATAGAAGTGTCATGAAAGTTTTATATACCAAACTTTTTACAGGGATTAAGTTCATTTAAGTATGGGTCGTTTTGTATTTGAAATCTGAAAGGAGAAACAGAAATTACAAGAAGAAGAGGAAGATTGCGTTCCGATCATGGCCTTCTCTTCCTGCCTCTTATCCAAATCCTGACAAGTTAGTTACTCAACCTTCACTTCTCATCCGTCTCCTTTTTTTTTTCTTTCTTTTTATATTGTTTGGCTTCTGAGATTTGAGAAAATTAGGACATTTAAAGATTTTGATTTCATTTTAAATTTTCTTAAATTTATTGATTATTAGATGACATAGTTTGTGATATACTGTAATTGATTTGAGTGATTATAATTTTAATTTTTCATGGTTAGAGCGGCATCGCGATGAAATGGGTATGAATTAACATATTTTGTGCGTTTGAATCCTCAATGAAGTTGTTTACTACAGTAATTGTGTTTGTTTGATAATAGGGATCTTATTGAAAAGCAAGGAAGAAGAATTGAATTAGATTATTGCGGGGCTCAAGAAAAACTATGCTTCTTTACAAGAGAAATTTACGAAATAAGAGTTGGATAAGATGGTAAGTAGATGGGTTTGATATTCATTGTGGCTGAATTTAGGTAACTTCTGTACATTATTAAATGTTTGAATATGTCTATCAGGCTGCAATGGAATCTCTCATTATGGAAAGAGAGGCTAGACTTGAAATTGAGCGACGACAAAATTCCCTCTCATATGAGCACAGGAGAGTTCAAAGAGAGCTTTTAAGTGCTACTCAGAAGGTAGGCTCCATGTGCAATTGTTCTTGCTATTTAGGCAATTTCCTGGAACATTGAGTAGAAAAAACAAATTAGAATTTTGTTGGTTTTTTCTTTTATGAAGTGTAAGCGTTAATGCATTTCATCCTAATATGCAACTTATATTAGTATCGCATTTTGAAAGGTTAGCATCTCAAGTGAACCAAATTTACCATTTTCCATTTAAATGAATTTTTAAGATAACCTCCGGTCCATGTTTGTTTTAACAATTTGTTATAATTCATTATATATAGTTTTCAAAAAGGTCGTGCATAATTCTTGCTGAACTTGGTTTGGGTTTCTTTTGTTTACGGATGAAGTGAGTTAATCACAGTTCTATCTGGTTAGTCATGTTCCCATTGTTGCATGACTTTTTGAACAGAAAACAAGGTTTATTATTTCAATTTCCACATCTACTTTTGATTTGGTAGATGTTGATTAATCTCATCTGTACCTGTTACTATTTTGTGGCTATATATGATTTATTTGACTTCCCAATTCTATATAATTAGTTCCATTGAAATACATTTGGCATACGTTAATTCTGCCTTTCTACAATTTCTACAATTTCTCATTGCTGCTTAAGTGGAACAAAATTAACTCAAACATTGCTTACGAAGAGAATGAAGTTGCATAATCTTTCATGAAATTTTCAATCCCGCAGTAACGCGCGGGCACAAATATCTAGTAATCTTTTAAAACCCCTGCAAAAAAAATACACAGGAAAGAAAAGAAAGAAAACGGGACTTAGGAAAGATATGCAATAAACTAAATATAAATTTACACGATAACAGAAATATATTTTTATATAAATTAAAAAACATACCAGTTCTGCTTTTCTGGAAGAATGCTTGGCCCTTGTTCATAAGATTGTAATTTTGAGGATCAATCGTTTTTTCAGCCATGTTATCAGAATTATCCAACAAATTAATAGGTTTTTTACCTTTTCGATCAGAAGGCTGAACAATTTTTTCAACAGATGCAGTATGCTGCACTTTATCATAATTAGCATTTTTCAAATCGCATTGTACAACAGCTGATCCACTACTACTACACTGATGTTTAAAATATGGAGTTCGAAGAAATGTATCAATCTGAGATAAAAAACAGCGTTTTCATGATTTTCAAGATAACTGGTTCTACACACTTTTCTTGGCTGATGGTCACACTGAACCAAGACATTATATTCATTATCACTATTTGTTTGTTTTTTGTTGTTATCATCATTGACCAACGCATTTATAGATCTTTTAGACATGTTGAAAACAAATTGTTATGAGGAAAAGCGAAGAGCTGCAAAAAAGATTGGAAAAAAAAAAGAAAAAAAAAGTGAAAAAAAATTAACACATAAATCACACAGCAAAAAAACATAACAAACATTAATTATGAACAAACCATCAAAATTAGGATTTCAATTTAAACACAATTAAAGTTAAAGGAAATACCAAGTTTATTCATACTTTATAAAACAAAATCGAAACAAATACTTAAAATTTGATCTTAACAATTCCAAAATTTTAGCTCACTCACCTTTATTACAGAAATCTTTCAAACACAAAGACAAAGACGCCAAAGCGTGAAAGCACAGTATTTTGAAACCCTCTTTTTTTTTCCAACTTGCAGAGTTGAAATTTTTCAAGCACCTGTATTTGTCAAGAGAAATCATCACATTATATCAATAAAAAAAATCATCGGTAACAAAATCGACACACATGAAAAAACAAACAGTGTACAAATAACATTCAGGATGAAAATGTGCTTGGTGAACAGAAAGACAAAGAATGGTTCACGTGGCCACCCCAAAACAGGTTGAAAATTAAGCTTCACTATGAATGGAAAGATTAATAGATGATAATTAAGAAGGCCTGATACCCAAGCCAAAATCGGAGATATCCTTTGTAAACAAAAAGATTGAGCATTTCCACTAATTTTTTTTTTGGGGGGGGGGGGGTGTTTGGGAAAGCTCATAAAAAGACATCAAATTTTATACTTATTGCATGCAAGGTATGCAACAGCTTCCCACCGCTTAAAATCACATAAATAAAAGGAATAGAATCAAGAAAAAAAGTTAATTACACAATAATTACACCTTCACTAAGATTAATAAATTAACCAAGGAAATAAATTATAAAAATGAAGACCATGAGAATAATTGGCTCACCTTTGTACTGTGATTTGCTGCCAAAAACAAAAATAATGTCATATACATTAAGCCTGCCTAATTACTAAAAACAAAACATTTTGCGAGAAGTAAGAACATACCCAAACTTGTTTGCAAATAGATGAGAAAATTTTATACCTGAAACAAATGGGAAATTTATTAGGAAAGATAGATCAGCCCATATGTGTGTAATCTATATGCAAAAAACTACTTTCTTCATCAGCCAAATCGTTTCACAAATAAATAAAAAAACAGAATCATATCTTGAACAATGCCAATTAATGATTTCCCATTTCCTTAAGCCCAACATGAAAGCCAATGAACTAATGAAAGAGCGAAAAATAGAAACAAAAAACCTCAATTAAGCAATCAACTGGAATCAAATGGAGAACTATTTAACAGACCTGGAAAACTACTATAAAAGGTTTGAAAATTACCCAGTAAGATTAAAAAAAAAAAAGATGAGATGGAGCGAGAATCACATACCAGCAACACGTTTAAATATGTAGGCTCCTCTGAGAGAGTATCAAGACTGACTGATGAGAGTGCAGAGAAACGAATGATTAAGAAATTAAAGCTCTAAGCTCAAATTTGGGGCTTCCACTTTCCAACTGGGCAAGAAATAACAGAGAAAACACAGAGAGAGTCAATCCACCAAAAATATTAATCAAATGGGTTTCTTCTAATTCAAATTTTGGACCACCCAAATTCCGATGAAGCAATAACCCAAAATTCCAACAGATTGAAGCTCTCACAGATTACAAATCATCAATAACCAGCAATAAAAAAAATTGAAAACAGTAATAATGAAGCAAAAAGAAATTAAAGCTGCAAGCCATTCTCTAAATCTCAGGCAGCAATCCAAATCACCAGTAATTTGCACATAATGATAAGAATCTAGTAGTACTCCAATTGTTTAAAACCCAAGTTCCAGAAATCATGAAAAATGTTACAACAGCAGATAACAAAGGGTCAAAAAAAAAAAAGAACAGCCACACCTTCTGAAATAAAAAACAAAACCAAAGAACACATTCACACCATCGGTCCAAACGATATCTAGAAAAGAAAAAAAAAATTGACAGACAAAACGCATGTAAACATATCAAAAATAAAAAAAATAAAAAAAATAAAAACTGTAGACAGAAGGAAATCACAAAACTCACGAAAAAGGAATTGAAGACAGCAAAGCCAACTTTTTATACCAAGCAGTGACAACGACGGCACAGAGATGAATTTTTACAAACGAACCGTTCGGAGCGAGCAGAGAGAGATGAGAACATAAAGGTAGAAAAATTAGGGTTCGAGACCATGCCTCACCACAGCAAAGCTAACTTTTTATACGAAGCAGCGACAGCGACCGGACAGAGGAAATTTTTATAAACCGATTGACCGGCGCGAGCGGACAGAGATGAGATTCAAAAGGGAGAAAAATTAGGGTTTGAGAGATAAAGAAAGCTAATCCCAAAATGGCTGAGAACGGCGACAACAATTTAGAAAAAAGGAAAGAGCATCCAAAGAAATCGAAACAGGAAAGGATCAACGCGTGGCCTTCGAGGGCAAGGCAGTCTTTTCACTGTGGAAAAGATGGCAAAAATTTGGCTTAACAAACAAATCGAGGGGTATTTTAGTCCGCGCACTGTCCGTGAACAGTAACGCGGTTTTGGGGTTTTAGTATAGGTATAATTTGATAAAATATATAGATAAAAACGTGGGCCGTGGGTTGAGATCCACAGATCCGTTTCGGCCTCGGCACAGCCCACGCTCCGACTGATTCGGTACGAACTACGAACCCTAACTCGAGTTGTATGAGACGAAGGAGATGTCATGTCATGGCAGTCAGTTGTGTTGTATTATGTTGACCGTTGACTTGTTTCCATTATTCAGATTCACTTCACTTCATCCCCTTCCGTCCTCACTCCATTATTCATATCCTGTTTGTCTACAAATTTCACCTCCAACAACAGTTCACCCAGCCACGGCGGCGGCGGCGGCGAGAGAGAAGAAAAGCAGGCAGTCGCAGGCGATGGGGTCATTGGGATGGGAAGAGACGGTGAGAAAGGCGGAGAAGCTGGTGGAGGAAGCCATGAAGGAGAACGACGCGTCCCACGACGCTGCTCACGTGTGGCGGGTCCGAGACCTCGCTCTCTCTCTCGCCCGTGAAGAAGGCCTCTCTTCCAATTCCGACTCCATGCAAATTGTAACTCCTACTCTCGCTACCAGTAACTTTTAAAGGGAAAATAACAATTGCATTAATTTATCTAAAGCTTGATTTTGGTACTGAATTGCCAACATTTGCAGATTGAACAGTTGAGTTCTTCACAAAAGAAGATTTCTTTAGGGGTGGTGCTATCCATGCACCACTTTCTATCCCCCGACCCTCTCTCATTCCGGCAGTCGGATGGAATGAATTGAATATCAAAGAATATAAATTAACAAGAGGTGTCTGGAAGGTAAAAAGTGGATAGCACCGCCCTTTCTAAACATACCAAGCTCATCACATTACTAACGCTCTCTGATACAAGTCGGTTCCGCATACAATGACAGTGCCAGCAATGTTAATGTAATCAGTTTTGTCCTTTTAAATAACATTATTGTTAATCTGTACTCTACTTTTCTTGGTCGACAGATAGAAGTGGCTGCACTTCTCCATGATATAGGTCAGTTAGTGTTCACAACCAAACTTTATAACATATCTTTGTGTGCTTGCTTATAAATGGATGTGCGACACACTGCACCCATTCCTATTAAATGTCTACTTTTATCTATCTTCTTGTTGGCTACTTGTTACGTGCAGTAGTACTTCTATGTGGCTTTCATTCTATGTTTCTTCCTGCATCTTTTCAGCTTTGCTTTTATTTTCTTGTTCTGATACGGTATAGCCTACTGATCATTCAAGTTGTTGATTGCTTGCTGCAGGTGATTACAAGTACTTGAGGTTTGTACGTTTCTCATTCTTTGTTTCCTTTAACTTATATTTTCCTTTTCTGTTGTTTTGTCTGGCTCTTCCATCGATTCATCGTTTCCCTCATGTTATTTTTGGAATGTAGAGATCCCTCAGAGGAAAAAATTGTTGAGAACTTTCTCGATGAGGAGGGCATAGATGAGACTAAGAAAATGAAGATTATAACGATCATCAAGGGAATGGGTGAGCCGATTACTGCTCCTTTCTGTCATGTTATTTCTCCCCTGTTCTGCTTACGTGATGTAAAAATCATTTGAGTTTAATCCTGTATTCTAAATCAGAATTTCATACTGCCAAAATGTAAATGCCATGTCTCTTTTCTACATAGGAAAATATTGTATGTTTCCACACATGCACCAATATATGCATCCGTATTTTCTCCATTTACGGTTTATATCACTTTAGAACCATATAATTTTTTCAGTTTCATTGTGTTCTTAATATTTATGCAATTCTGATTTTTGTTCAATATCCTTTGTGGACAAGAGGTCGCACTTGGTGCGATGGCAAGTGCCTTCGCCCATGAGCGGTAGGTCTCGGGTTCGAGCCTTGGGAGCAGCCTCTCCATAAATGGGGGTAAGGCTAGCCGACATTCACCTCTCCCAGACCCTGCGTAAAGCGGGAGCCTTGTGCACTGGGTACGACCTTTTTTTATCCTTTGTGGACGTTATTGTGGTTGTTAACCCTTTGTAGCTGTTTGCTGTAATAGAATGTTTAATTCCAAGCACCTTATTGTGCATATGAGCTCTGATATACAAGTACTTCTACTTTCCAGGTTTCAAAGATGAGCTTGCAGGAACAAATAACGATTTTCCTCCAGAATTTGGGGTTGTTCAAGATGCTGATCGTCTCGATGCAATTGGTGCTATTGGTAATCTCTGTACTTGATAATTCTAAACATTAGATTTTGTCTACCTACTATCTCTATGTAAGTTTAAAATTGGGATGACTGCTTCAAGAGCAACTGTGGGTGTAACTGTTTTTGCACAATATTAAGTAGTCTTTTGGTCACAGGAATTGCTCGTTGCTTTACTTTTGGTGGAAGTAGGAACAGAGTGCTACATGATCCTAAGATTCTGCCACGATGTGACTTATCCAAGGAAAAGTACATGAAAAAGGATGAGCAGACTACTGTGAATCACTTTCACGAGAAGCTTCTTAAGCTAAAGGCTTTGATGAAAACAAAGGTAAATTTGTTGAAACATGGACATGACATTACACGTTCCTCACTTGGAATCTTCCTCATTTGCATGCATTACATATGTATGTATATTATCATCCATTCAGTTTGTGATATGAGGTTTGACCATTGATTTCAGGCTGGGCAGAAGAGAGCTGAGAGACGGCACAAGTTCATGGAGGAGTTTCTTGTAGAGTTCTATGAAGAGTGGGATGGGAGAGCTTGAACGAGGTAATTTTTCTTATTGTTATTTATTTATCTCAGAACAGTCAGATGCAAATTATATAGCACTCCTAGGCCTTGTTTGTTAGAGAGGATCAGCTTGGATAGGACTATTCACTATATTAAAGACATTTTGAAGGGAGAAATGGATGACAACTTCCCTATTTTGTCGAAGTGGAAGATTACTCATGAAGAAAAGTTGTTCCCTTTAATCCTACCATTTTTTTTGGGATCAGCAGGGATGTCTTTTCTTCATGAGTAACCTTCAAGTTGGACGAAATATGGAAGTTTTCATCCATTTCTTCCTTCAAAATGCCTTCAATATAGTGAATAGTCATATCCAAGTCGGTCCTTCCTATCAAACATGGCCCTAGTGTTCTAAACAAAGAAAAGAGAATCTAGAATGTAATCATTCTAACAGTGCTGAATTTTGTGATTATGTTAGAACTTGTCAACTTCGCTCCTGGAGCGGAACTTGCTTGAAGATGCGGGCTATAATATTCAAACCAACTGTATGACAAAATATATTTTATAAAATGAGTCTTTTCTCATAGGACTGTAATATGTTGGTGGATACCAAGGAAGTCAATTATCTCTTTGATGAGTATTGTACGAACAGGTACTAGGTAGGGTAGAATTAGAACCCTCTTTCCTGGATTGAAGCATAAGTAATCAATTTGATGAGAATATGAAATCTGTGGATGGAATTTAAATTCTATGTGACCAAATGAAAACTGGCTACATTATGCGACAAAACTAAACTCGGTAGGCAAAGTTGGTGGGGTGTAGCAATTTTCTTCATCGTGTAAAAAAATATGTCCGTTAACTTTAAGGTTGAGTGCCTCGTACTGCCGAGGTATCCAACTAGAGGTAGAGGTCAATGAAGCAAAAACAGACACGACTGGAATGTCGAGGTCCTGAGTTGCTCGCCAAACTTTGCCTTTTTCTTTTGTATTTGGCCCTCAAGGCTTTCGTAATTGAAATGCCTTAGAGTTGAGAAGAATGAAGAAGGGCAGAAAGGGCTTGCTTTACACGTGTAAGTGTGAAATGTCAGAAGTTTTACTTGCTCCGGTTGGATTGAGAGTTGAATAAATACCAAAGAGGAAGAGCCCACGCAATCGTCTCACGTGATGTGTGAGAAAGAAAGACACATGGTAATAAATCACCGCTTGCGGCTAAGATTTTACCATAGAATTACAAGTTTGTCTGCAGGCATCGGAGTGGCTACCATTTTTGTGACTCAAGTAGTTAGTTATATTGGCAAATTGGTGTTTAGGTTTAGCTTTCGTTAGGATTAATCACAAATTAGTGAAAGGGAAAGATGAACTTATTTGTTACAGAGAGAGAATACATGTATTATTCAAATACATATACGAGGAAGAATCCAAGATTACACAAGTCGATATCACTCTACAGATTTTCAATCATCTTCCCATGTATGTGGGATATGGCAATGCCACTATTTGTATATGAACGATATCATTATTACAAACGACAACAAAAAACGCCAAACACACTATAATCTCTATTGTATTAATCCCCATTAATATCATATATCATATATTTAGTCATTTGTGGCGCCCAGCATGGTCACGCTTTTGGAGAGTGACCTTCAACCCATGCTTCATGTACATGGTCAGTGCCAGCTTTGGCTCCACCGGATGATTTTCGACCACCCTCACACGGTACCGGTAAATGATGGAGGCAGCGACGAACTTCATTTGGTAATAAGCAAAGTCTTTGCCCAAGCAGAGGCGAGGACCTCCATTGAAAGCCGTAAATTTGTATGCAGACTCGCTCATGAAGCGGCCGTCTGATGACCGCAGCCATCTCTCGGGTTTACTCCCTGCAGTCCTTCCCCCAAATCGCCTCCATTCTCCCCATGGTGTACATTGCGTATATCACTTTTGTTCCCTTCTTCAATATTGTTCCATCTGGAAATACGTCATCTTCAACTACCTACGCATATAAACAATTCAATTCAATTAAAAAAACTTAGCTATAGCCTCTGCAATCTTCCTAACTAGTAACTGCTACACAATTGTTTGCAAGGGATAATATAGACAGAGTCACAGATTTAACCGGTTAGGTAAACAAGAATCTCATTAAATTAAGACTATATCCGTCTAGGGTGTCATCGTCGTTGACCGAAAAACAAAAACCAGTTATTCACTTAATTATAATTCACCTCAGGAAAAAATAGATAATTAGTAATATATATATGTGTGTGTGTGTGTGTGTGTGTTGTGTGTGTGTGTGTGTGTATTTATCTCACAATTATATCATGACTAGCTATATGATTAGTTGAAGAATGTTTGAGGCATGACAAGTCCCATAACATGCCATGCATGCACTTAAAATGGTTATTAGTTTGAGTAAACTAATGTTTAAAACGAAAAAGAAAATCAAGGTGTAAGTTGTGTAATTAACTAAACTGAACTTACCTCCTTGTGATCTAATGGAACTGAAGGGTACAACCTTAGAGCCTCTGATAGAGCTGCATGAAGATACTCCATCTTCTTGATCTCTTCTGGCTTGAATACTACTGCTTCATCATCGTCATTTTTAATTTCACGATCACGATCAGATGATGTTCTTGCGCCCACAATCCGGCATATTTCTTGAAGAATCTTATGCTCCACCTCCGGATTGTGATGAAGCAGCCAGAAGAACCAGCTCAGTGCCACCGATGACGTGTCTCTCCCTGCAAGTATGAAGTTGACGCATATATCCCTCAAGAATTTGTCCGAAAACGCCTCCCCCCTCTCGTCTTTCAAACCCATAAAAACCGTTAACAAGTCTGATCTAATCTGCTTATTCTTCTTATCATCATCATTAGAAGCATTAGAATTGTTGGTGGCAGAAATTAGTAGCGGGAGCTCTTTCTTCCTTGTCCGAATGACGTCTTCCGCAAACTCGTCCACTCCTCTTATGGACCTCTTTAGCTTCCTCTCAGCACCCAAGTTTAAGTACCTCATGGTCTTCCACAAGCAGGATGGGGTCACAAAGCGCATAACTGTTGCTTCCGTCGCATCCTCAAAGGCCTGAGCGAATGGTATTTTGGGTAACCCCAGCTGCAAGCAACCAGGGTCGACCCCAAACGCGATCATGCAAACATTGTCAAAAGTCAACCTCAAAAGAATGTCTTGGAGGTCGATTGCGGTCGAGTGTTTGATGGAGTCCTCTAAAACGGGCAGAAGCCTACCATGGACAAGTTCAAACAACGAATCCGCGGTCAGTTGCCGGAACTTAGCTGAGTGGAACTCGATGCTAGCCGTCTTCCTTTGTCGCTGCCACGTCTCGTCGTCCGCGTTGAATATGCCATCCCCGAGAAGATCTCGAACGGTGTCTCGGAAATAAGGGCCTTTGGGAAAATTGGAGAACTTGGTCTTGAGAAGGTGCTCCAAGTTACGAGGGTCTGAAGTGATGACGCTAAAGAGGCTGCTAAACCAAGGGCCTTGGAATAGAAACGTGCCGTTTTGGCGGCAAAGAACTTGGGAAAGCCACTCATATAGGTTGTTGGTTTGGAGTCCGAGTACGGCAAAAGAGAGAGAGGGTAGCATGCCAAGCACCGGCCAAACGGGTAGGCCATGGCGCTTCTTCTGCCTCAACGAGTGTATGGTTATGAAAACGCATAGAGCCAGAAAGAGCTCCAAGATTTGGATGTGGTGAAGGAAAAAGAGTTGCCCCGAAACCAAGTTTCTGGCCACGAAAGTCTCGGAGAAGGAGGGGCAGGTGAGATTATTGATGGGAGGAGAAGGAGGAGTGGTGATCATGTTGTTGGAATGAGAGGAGAGCCTATATGTGATGAGAGTGTGTGGTTTATTAATATTGGCAGACTAACACTATGATGAAATTGAAATGAATGGGTTGGTTTAATTAGGTTGAGGAGTGGCACGGTGGAGGTCATGTGTTATATGGGGGGCGGTCATGATTCATCATTTGTGTGTTTCTTGGCGTGCATGTTTTCTACTTCTTTCTTTTACCCAAGAGCTTTCGATTTGGTGAGCTGAAATGTGTCCTGGGCAACAGAAGTGGCTGCCCACCCATTCATATAAGCTTATTCGAGTTCATCCTTGTATATTCTTGCGGGCCCTACCATGGAAAGCATTTTGATGGTTCGAACCGTGTCGTGTTTAGGACTTTTTTTCAATTAAATAGTGTGATCTTCTTAGCATTTTCCTACCATTAAATAATTGTCATTTTAGTAGTTTCTTGAAATATTAATTTCTTTAGTTTTCTTATTTGCTTAATTCTTTTACTAAAAACTGAATGAAGAATTATAAGTAGACAATTTAGACATTAAAATAAAATTCACAATACTCTCACATTAATTAAAAAGTCTAGAGATTATATGTAAAATTTCTTTTTTTGTCCGAACCTTTTCCATATATGGAGTGATCACTATTCTTGAGCTATCTAGCTACTACCTAGCGTGAATATATGAAAATATTACAATTCACTTTGGAGAATATGGTCTGTGTGTAAAGCAAACGAATGGGAATGTCGGTCTCCGTGTGTTTTGGTTTGAGTAGAATATGGTGTATATATATATATATATATATATCTCTTGAAGTTTAAAGCAAAATGCTGATGCTTTCCTAAGTGCCGCCAAACTAAGGGTGGGCACAGTTCGTTCCAATGCAGTTTTGAGCGAAATCGAAACTAAAATAAAAAGTTTTTGCAATTTCAAACAGTTTATGTTCAGTTTCAAACCATTTACATATAAAATGAAGAAAATTCTCTCTATCAACAACATTAGTATATTACATAGAATGTGCTCTTAGTATTTCCAACTCCCCCATTTCCTGGATCTTTCCTTCTTTTCGGCTTTTTTTCCCACTTGGGCTTTTTGGCGGCTTCCATTTTCTCTAGAAATTAAGTTGCCATTTTTTCTTAAAAATTAAGAAAGTCGATACGTTTGAGAGTAAATGTCGATACCTTTGAGAGTAAAAGTCGATACCTTCCATCAGAGGGTTTTGAATTTTACACTTCACAGTCACTAAAATTCAACTATCACCAATCACAATATTACAATTTAAATTTGAAATAAATTTCAACATCAAAAGGCTTTATAATTTGCAGTAAAATGGTCGTACCACTGCTGAGCTAGATCAAATCTCTTTTTTATTATGACCCAAAAGAGAAAAAAGCCCAGTTCCTTTTTTATTCAAATGAACCCTAACCCTAAAATTAATCACAAATGATTAACTAAATTAACTAATATAAGTTCTAAGTTCTTACCATATTAGCTGGAACGAAGCGGAGGGGAGATAATTGTTGAGAATGAATCTCACATTAATGGGAGGAGGGATCTTGCATGAACTTATAAGAGGTTAAGCTACTTCTCATATTACCAATTAGTTTTATGGTGGAACCTTAAGGGCCTGTTTGGTATCCAATTTGAAATTTTTTATCATTTCTCAAAACATTTCTTAAGAAGATCTCTTGAAAACAATTTTATTTAAGATTCAAAAATTTGATTGGTTTGCAATTTAAAATTTTTAAATCTTACGACTTAAATTAGACAAAGAGATCTAAAAAGAGGGGGTCACATAAGAGAGAAAAAGAAGAGAGAGGAGGAAAGAAAGTAAGATATGATTGAAGGAAAGAGAAATAAGATAGAGGATTGGACGAGATAGAGAGGAAGATCAGTGAGAGAAATAACCGAGATAATGAAGAGAGCAGATTGGAGGAGAGACGAAAAAGGTAA